CGTAAGCGTGCACATCACGCTTACCCTGCTTCAGCTTCAAGAGTTCGGTTCGAGCTCTGAACTCAGCTCTAGGCGGCTCAAACGTTTGTCTGAGCCGCGACTTGAAGACTTCCAACGACCCAAACGCATATGGGTCGTGCAACTTGAGTCCCAAAGCCCAAGTCTTGGCACGTCCTGCCAGATTTGACTGGGCAAATGCAACTTGCATATCCCCGTCGTCGATGCGACGCGCCCTTATGGCGTCATCCAATTCGACGAACCATCTCAAGAGGAAGTCCTCTTCGACTCCCCTATACTGGGAGATGTCAATCTTCAAGGTTTCGGGTCGACACGAGTGCATCGACCCACCAGCAGCAGCCTGCTGCTGTCTCAACAGTTCAAACTGTTGAGCACCCTGTTCTCTCAACAACTCTGCTTGTTGAGAACCTTGTTTGGTGAAGCAAGGCTACTTTCTCGCGTTCAGCGTCAAGTTCATTTGAATGAACTTGGCGATAGTAGCATGTTGTGCATCTCTATTGAGAGCCTCTAGCATGACGCTAACAGCATGGATGCCCATGGTTGAACCCATCCGCTAAACCGCATCACATTCGACATCGCTCAAATGGGAGTAGCCGTCACGCGTAGCGAGAAATCTTTGGTCATCTTCATCATCCAACATATTCATGTTAGATATGAACGTGGTCCTTGGACGGACTACGAAGTGCTACCAGGTGTAACGGGGCACCCTGAATCTCGTAGTGATGGCAGTACAAGCTTCTTATTCTGATGACAGAATAAGGCGGTGCCTCGGAACTTCACGTACACTCGTACGTGCAGAGGAAGACGGTAAGAAGAAGCGAGTACTTGGTTAAAGTAAAAAAGTAGAACTGTATTCATCGTAGTTAATGGCTGTTAATAAATCACTATTTATCATCATCTAACTATGTCTGAATACAAATGTGCAAATCAACTATCTGCTCACCACTCACTGCGTGCGTCTGTTGTGGCGCGTCTTCGTTGGTTGATATAATGGCCTACATCAGCCAATCAGGAACTACTCGTAAGTGCTGCAGAATATTTGTCCTTATGACAATATTCTGAGAATACAACTCTTATAGTTATATTCTTTTAACAATTTCTAATAAATTGTTATGTAACGATTCACCCCGTTACAAATGACACATGAAATGTTATTTGTTTATTTTCCGAAAACTGACTGGAAATTGCACTTAAACCTACTGAACGTCAAAGTCCCTGTCTTGCATACGGTTAAGCGATCGATGCAACTAGCGGACCGGGCGCTCCATTATGTTAAGTATTTGAGCGGCTTCACGACGACGACTTCGGGGGCAGAAGACGCCAGTGTTTGTGCAGCTTTTAGTGACTAGTTCAAATTAGCTTTTTTAAGCCAGGCTCTTCGGTGTTCCGGACCGTCGGCTTCCCAGGCGATCTAAGAGGGGACTTTGAACATGATTAAATTTCTCAAAGAAAAATCGCCTTAAGTTGCGGCAAGGACCACTGCTGCAGGTCTTAAAATTCTTTTATCCGTTGGATCAATGGGAGCATACACGTTAATAAAGGGGGTGTAGTTCTCCGCAAGTGCGATGACCCGCTTAGATCATATTTCCTGTTTCCAAAGCTAGAATACGTGCCGCTGTTATGGATCTAGTGATATCGCCACTCCACCCGTTCTGTCGCCGCTCACACTCAAGTAAGAAGCCCGTCGACAGGTCTAATATGTTGGTGCCTTCAAACTGAGGTGCACAGTGCCGAACGTGCCTACACCTCTAAAACTATGTGTGTCTCCTGTAGTCCTTATCCACTAAGATGGCAACTATGAGATTCCTTTTCCATCCAGACATCCAGGAGCGTTGAGCTGCGGGCGGGAAGCCGCGAAAATTCTGAGAATGACAAAGAGGTTACGCTGTTCGGCCACGGTGGTGGGTAAGGATAGCGTTGAGATGCTGGACTAACGCTTGTGTCAGCTAATGCTCTATGTAAACTTCTCGACATTATTTAGTGGTATTGGAAGCTGAAGCCAGCCTTGCTGCTGGGTGCCCTAAGTAGTATAGAGTGCGTTGACCGGACCCGTGGGATAGTGTAATCTAGAAGAAGGTTATTAGGGTTAACTAAAGATGTTTCTAGGAAGCATCGCGATGAACACGGTAAAAAACCTTTTTAGGAGTGCAGTAAGGTGGTACTGGACCTAAGACGGGATGTCTCCATATGTATCGGCCGCTTTTTCGATGAGTGCTTTCATATTGGTATTGTGAAATACCGCACAAATTACGTGACGTGCAAATGCATTAGTTTCTGACGTCACAATGTTTTTAAAGCTCATCACTGCCATATTTGCGTGCTCGAAGTTGAGCGAAATTATCTATGCTGTCGATCAGCGGGGCCAAAAAAAATTGGATAAGGTCGTAAAGCTAATGTCCTCCACGAATCAATCCAGTTTTAATTCACTCGGACCGTCATCCTATCGCTATATCGATGAAAGCTTTGCAGAATACATACCCGTCCTTACAAGGAGGTCCAGGCGACGATGGCTTCATCACTGAGAGCAATGAAAAGTAGATATTGTTGGTAATAAGGCTTGGAGAAACGTCACCAGCTTCTCCGGTTCAGTGTGGACGGCAAGCAGCCATTTCTCCATGCTGCTGCTGAAAGAGGGAAAAGGTTCGCCATTTGGGTCCGACCACGACCCCACTAATGGATTCACATATCCTGCCACACTCTGTTTATTATAAGCAGTATTTTGTGTGCTCAATGACTGCTTTGTGTGCAACGAATTTCGTGTTTGGTGTAATTGCGAGCTGACCTGTACAGTGGAAAACATCCTCAGCGCGTGAATTTTTAAATCTTCTACCCTCCAAGCCAAGGCGAGTAGAGGGTAGCAGACGGCCTACAATTTGCCCGGATGGGGTGTCGACAGGTTCCGTTTGCGTACTTGTTGTGAAACTATCCTCGGTACACCGAGTAGGGCCTAGGTGACAAACATGAAAGCCCATGTCGGTACCGGGTAGAGGCTGCTGTAGTTGGCTGACCTCGTGTTTAAGTTACCGCCGCTGCTCCATTTCGCTATAAGGGGTAAATTTATTGTCTTGCAGCTTGATCGCGTCACCGCTAGTAAGAGTGATCTGGCGGGTTTACTCGCACCAAGCGTTCCTGATTCGTGGGGTTCAGAAGTAGGTATTTGGAGGTAGAAAATTTCATCAATGCCTAAAAAATAATAAGATTCGCGGTTATTATTATCTAATAAACTGTTATTTGCAGTCGTTGTAGAAGTAATTGACCAAGACAACGCGCTGCCATTCCATTATTTTCATTTTCTTTGCAGTGCCTTGATACAAGGACCGCGAGGTCTGCCGTTCAAGCTGTTGTCTAGACAGCTTCTGCCGTCCCCACTTTCATCTACTATGCAATCCTCTAGTGTCTTTTGCATGACGACATGTGGATCTTGTCGGGAAGTCATGTTTATATTGTCTGGATTGTAAGGGTCGTTAGGTTGGAACCTGTTGACGGTAGCCGAGTATAAATTTAGGCCGAATAATGGTTTACCGATTAACGTATTACGATTGGCGGGCGCGTTCCCGTCCTGCAGCTGCTTTTCCTTTGCAATGAGTGAATCATAATCGGCCGCCGTAAAAACCACGTGTTCTCCAGTTTTAATATGATTGTTTCGACATAAAATGAGCAGGGGCGGTTTTTGCCAGGCCCGATTAAATTGTAGAAAATCGAAATTAGTGTCGGAAATTCATATACTATTACATTTTTATTCCATTAACTAAAACGTTTAGTAATTACTGCGAACTACGCTAAATCGTAATTTTGTGCATTTAAAGTGCTCCAATGGCGCTTAAGACGACGCCGCTTCAGGAGAAGCATACACTAAAGTTCGAATTCGAGACCATCAAGACGGGAAAGAGCGACGCGCAAAATTTGCAATGCCTATTCTTCATCTATGACCTGCGTGACAAGGTTAAGGTTAGAAGCCATAACTGATCGCAAGCGCAAGTCGCGCGTTGACATCATATACTACACAAAACCGTTCGCGCCGCAGAACCGTCGCAGTCACCATACGCAGCATGGCAAAGCCTAAACCGTATAGAGCCAGCTGTGTGACGCGGAGAAGTGCGAATGCATCACTGGAAAGACGAAGATCGTAAACACGCTGCATCATTTCCTCGACGTTGCAGCGACAATAGAATTTTCAAACCTTCGCCGCTAAACGTCGAGATCATCATCGGCGACATGTCCTTCAGGAACGACGACCTCGTAGATTCTGACACATCGAAGGCAATAGCCAATAAAATTGCCAAGAAATCCAGCGAGTAGGAACATGTGGTAAAGCGGTTCGTCAGGACTCGGAGACTAAGCAGGACGTCATCACTATCAATAATGTGATGTAGTACGAACTCGCATTGGACCACGGGGTGGGCGGAGTAACGGGGCACCCTGAAGCTTGTACTGGTGACAGTACAAGCTTCTTATTCTGATGACAGAATAAGGCGGTGCCTCGTAACCTTACGTACACTCGTACGTGCAGAGGAAGACGGTAAGAAGAAGCGAGTACTTGGTTAAAGTAAAAAGTAGAACTGTATTCATCGTAGTTAATGGCTGTTAATAAATCACTATTTATCATCATCTAACTATGTCTGAATACAAATGTGCAAATCAACTATCTGCTCACCACTCACTGCGTGCGTCTGTTGTGGCGCGTCTTCGTTGGTTGATATAATGGCCTACATCAGCCAATCAGGAACTACTCGTAAGTGCTGCAGAATATTTGTCCCTATGACAATATTCTGAGAATACAACTCTTATATTTATGTTCTATTAACAATTTCTTATAAGTTGTTATGTAACGATTCACCCCGTTACATCACTCCCCCTTAACCATCAGTCAATTTAGTGACTGATTGACTAAATGGATACTCGTCCCAAATCATTTGGGACAGGGTTTGCACTTGTTGGTCCGAGTCCACTTTCCAACATTTCATCGCATAGTTAACAAGCCCATGCGATGCGCGAGCAAGGCCGCCGAGAGCGCTTCCGCACGTCTCTGTGCGGACGCCGAAGCAGAAACCTTAGCAACTGATGTCTCATCGGTTGCTGAAGCGACCCAGCCTGTGTCACTTGGTGATGCAGGCGCTGGTCATGAAGACACTCATGTCTTCACAGAGTATGAGCTCGGTGTCTCATACTCTCCTGATACAGACGACGGATCCTTATCGACGGCAATCGAATCCTAGCCGCCTGCCAAGCGTGGCATGGATGATGATGTGCGTCGCAGCATCTTTGGTTCATCTGATGAATCAGATGAACCATCGCCGAAGCGAAGGCGCTCGAGGTCGCGAAACTCGGGCGCTCACAGTGGTGTCGGTTCTCCTATGGACACCACTTTGCAACGAGGTGCCATTCCTTTTGTCGGCACGTCGCAGGAAGAGCGGGACCGCAATGTCTTGCGTCTCGCTCCTGAGAAGAAGGCATGGATGCCTCCAAAATCCGTCATGGATCAATTGTCGGCGACGACGAGTGATCGTTAACGAACACGATTGTTCGGATCGTCTAGGATCCATCACCTTGACCCCAGCGCGAAAAACTATCGCGCTGAGAACAAATTCTTTATCGATGCTTTCTTTAGACATCGTTGGAACAGTGGGAATCACGTCCGTGATGGTCCCTCACTGCTTCAGGCGTGGAACGCCTACATCCATAACCTTGAGGATGTAGGTCGTGACGCTTGGAACGACAAACTTATCAAAGCTCGTGATAATTTTGAAAAGCGAACCCCGGCAGGTGCACGCTACAAGCTGCATCGTCTGTCAAGGTAGAAAGGATTACCCTGCCTCTCTTAGGGAGACTCGTGCCCATGTTGTGTGAGCAACTCTGCACGAGCATTTAAGGAGGCTTACCTCCCTAATAGCCCGTGGTGGCGCGTATGTACCTCTAGTGAGATGTACGAAGGGATTGACATCTTGAAATCCCTTTACGACCGTGCCGGGAAGATTTTCTCCGGCGGTCCTTCTGCGGCACAGGGTGTACCGCGTCGTACTGCTCAACCAGACCCATTACGTCGATCATCAGTCGGGAGCGGGGCTCCCAAGAATCCTAGGACGGGGGATAGCCGCGCCACCAGACGAGATAACTCGTCCGACGTCCGTTCACGTCGCAGTGGCTCAACAGCTGCTCAACTAGATAGCGCTGGCCACCGCGAGAGTCCTCTAATGGAGGTGGACGAGGAGGGAAGACGCTCTCCACACGATCATGGGGATCTGTGTGTTCCCGAGAGCTTCTTTGATCGCGTAACGCAAGGGTTACGCAACGATCTCGAACAAGAGCGGGACAGACGTCTCCAAATGGCGGATACTGTCTCGAAGCATCGAGCTGAGTTTGCCTTTGCTCAGCTAGAGAACGAGAGATCTCTGACATCTCTTCGTGACGAGCTAAGGGTAGCTCGTGTGGATATTGACCGGTCTTGGGCTGAGATAACTGCTATTCAGACCCTTGTCGATGCCCACCATCGGGAGCACAAGGCTCTCTGAGAGATGCTTGAGCGCAAGGGCGTTCTTCATCTGAAGAAGCAGCGTACTGATGGTACAGCTTAAGCCGACCAACGTAAAACGTGGGATGCGTTTGCATCTTACGTGGTAACTCGATCGTGTATGCATTGCCTAGGCGGTGCAATACACGAAATGGGCCGATGTACATGGGTAGTAGTTTTCTGCTACCCAAGTTAGTCACTACATGCTTTGGTAGGTTAACTGTAGACAGTAGGACTAAGTCACCTTGAATAAATAAAAGAGTGTTTGCCCTCCCATTCTTGTCAGCGTTTTGCTTTTGCTTATCCACCGCTTCGGCGATGGAGTCTTGCACAAAACGGACTACCGTTTCACGAGCCAATATGAACTCATCTGATGACTCGTTAGCTTCAGTGCGCTGTGAGCGCACTGCAGCAACATCAACCTTTTCTTCAGTGAGGGCTTCCGCACTCTCACTGGCATCATCTTCTTCGATATTGATATTATCGAGATCGGCATCAAATGCAATGACCTCTTCGTCAGAGCGTGATGAGCGGGAGCCAAATCGGTTATTGCTCGCGCGAGTCCCTCCCCCCTCAAACCAGAGTTACACTCTAGTAAGGTGGGTACACGCGGATGGCGCAAGCCATTCACGTAAAACGGTGTATGTGTCGTGGACGCATACACCGAGTTGTTAATGGCAAACTCTACCATTGGCAAAAACTCACTCCAACTCGTAAAGGAGTGTATCCTCGAAGTATCTCTTCAAGGACACGATTGGCACGTTCCGTCTGACCATCTGACTCTGGATGATCAGATGTCGACATCTGCTAGCGCGTTACGAGTGATTTGAACACGAAACGCCAGAAATCAGCAGTGAATCGTGGATCTCTGTCTGATACGAGTTCACGGGTCAACCCATGAAGTCGGAAGATGGTGTCGATAAAGACACAACCACAGCCACTTGCCGTGATTGACTCTGGTACAGCCACTAGGTGTACCATTTTGCTGAATCTGTCAATAAATACGAGAATACCCGTATTCTCACGTGCGTCTTTGGGTAACCCGAAGACAAAATCCATTGAGATGGATTCCCAGCACTCAGCCGGAACCGGTAGAGGATGTAAAGGTGCACGCAGTGAAGGACTTGACTTCACTCGTTGACAGACTTTGCATGCGCGAACGTACTTGCGCACAAACTGATACTGGCGGGGCCAGTAAAAGTCTCGACTCACCGTGAGATACGTTTTCTCCCGGCCACGATGTCCTCCTATAGGAGCATCGTGATACTCGAACATGATCCGCAAACGCAGATCAGTATCATCTGGAATGACAACACGTGGTGTGTCGCCAGAAACGGCTGTATAATACAGTAATCCGTTGCGAGTAGTGTATCGATCTGATGCAGATCGAAAAGCAGACGACAATCGTTTCAACGATTCTCGAGATGGCTGTGAGAGATGTGTCAACAACTTCACAATCTCACCATCTTGGGCGTATGCCCGCCTCACATCATCATGCAACGTTGAAGATGGGACTGAGGACGTCATAACCGCAACAGTGACTGTCTCACTGTTGGGTTTCGCGACTGTTTCAAAGTCGGGACGACGTGAGAGTGCATCAGCGACGACATTAAGTCGTCCTGGTTTGTACTCGACCATAAAGTTGTATTCTGCAAAGAACGACAACCACCGCGCCATTCGTTGTGAAAGGTGCGGGCTGTTCACTGCCGTGCGTAATGACGCATGGTCAGTGTAAACAATGAAGGGTCTATCTCCTAATCAATAGACTCTGAACTTCGCGAGTGCATGCTTCATGGCAAGGAGTTCCTTGTCATGCACTGGATAGTTCCGCTCAGCTGGTTGCAGCTGACGCGACTGATAGCAGACGACGCGTTCAACGCCTTCAAGATCGTACTGCATTAATGAACAGCCGATTGCAAAATCGCTGGCATCACAGACCACATGAAATGTCCTGTCTTGATCGGCTATTGCTAGGACTGGGGATTATGTCAAGCTCTGCTTGATACCATCAAAGGAGCGTTGACATTCAGCGTTCCATAACCACCTCTCGTTCTTTTTCAACAAACGAGAGAGGTGCACAGTCATCTCGGCGTAATTGCGTGAATACTTATGCAAATACGCCGCTAGCCCAAGGAATTTTCGAAGACCTTTGACATCAACCGGCACAGGCCAGTCGGTGATCGCCTTGATCTTTTTGGGATCAGGACGTACACCGTTCTTACCAATGATACACCCAAGAAGTGATATTTCGCTTGCTGCAAATATACACTTCTTGAGGTTTGCATACAATTGATGCTTTCGCATGATTGTAAGAACCTGTCGGACGTGGTACCTGTGAACCTCAACGTTCGACTTTCCATCCATAGCTCGACTATGGATGAATGCGTCATCCAAATAACTCGGCGCGAATTCTCGTACTGGTCTCAACAGATGTGATACACATCTGTTGAACGTGGCAGGGACATTACTAAGCCCTTGTGGCATTACTAGCCATTCCCAGAGCATACCGCTAGGCGTGCTAACTGCGGTATAGGGTATATCCCGTTCCCGCATAAGGATTTGAGAAGAGCCATCCATCAAATCCATGGACGAAAAGATGGTACTCTTTGACATACCATCAATGATTACGTCCTTGCTTGGTATCGGCGTCCGAGCCGGTACCGTTGCAGCATTCAACTTGTTAAATGCATGCACTATCCGCCACCCTCCTGTTGCTTTTCGCACACAGAAGGTCGGAGAGCTATGTGGGGAAGTTGTCACATGGCCCGCAGCTAAACGATCGGCAAAGAACTTGTCGATCGCAAGTACTTGTTCACGAGGCAGTGGCCACTGCTTCATGACACAGTACTTCGAGCCTGGTTGAAGCTCGACCTCGTGTCGAATACCTTCATCCTTCGGTAATTCGCACGGAACAGTTTCAGGGAATACATCCTTGAATTCAACCAAATCTTCATAGAGAGTACTTGTCTTGAGCGATTCCCACGATTGGGAGTCATATCGCTCAATTCGTGTCTTTTCATCTAGGACACTCTCGTCCATAGATGAACTACTGAGAACTCTCTCTTTCTCAGTGAACACTGTTGCTGACCTTGTGTCGGCTACAAAATCGTCGTCAGCGACGAGTACGCAGATCTGCTTGACTTTGCCACGACGCAGATCACGCAAGAACCTTTTATGTTCGAGCGTTGGCAACTGAGAGATCTCCGAAGTCAACTTCGGAGGCGCAATCAGATCAAGTGTATAAGCGCCTACGCTTGATCCATCATTGACTATGACATTCAATGTCTCTATCATTTCCTGGGGACTTATTCCCTCAGGCCTCGAAGGACTTATTCCTTCGGCTTCCCGGAGACTTATTCTTGCGGGTTTCGGGGAACGTATTTCCGCCGTGTTTGTAATCTTGGGACTTATTCCCTTAACTTCCTCTAGCTGGGGTTGCGCAACCACAGCGAGATCCTCTACGAAAGACTCTCCACTCGATCTAGGAATATCTTTTCGCTTAACCTGAGCGATCGATTGTTTCTCTTCTAGATGTTCCCCGCTAGGGATGCATCTGTGTCCCGGTCCACTCGACTTATTCGAGTGGTGGACCTTCGTCGCAGCCTGTGTTTCCGCACAGCCGCCGGAACTTTGCTCCGAAGTGTAACTGTTTTTTTCACACTAAGGTTTTGTGCAGTCGTACTAACGAACGTACCACAAGTGAGGCCATCACACTCACTCGTAGTACATCCCCACGCTTGTGGACGCTCCAAAACGTTCATCAGATGGCCATCTGATGAACAAGCGGCAGGCATCGTTACTGTCCGATGTTGCCAGTTTACCCGTGGTTCGTACCTTCTGAGCCACGTCATTCCAAGGACGACATCAAATTTGTCATCCAAATCCAATACGATAAAGTCATCGTCATATTGGGTATCTTCCAGCGTATAGTGGATCTTCACTATACGCTTCATGACGGTTACGGATGCGCCTGTCGCAAGACGTACCGTCATCCTCGTAGGAGGTGTGTCACATTCACTAAACTTGAAGTGACCATCTTCTAGCGATTGGCGTTGCTCAAAATTGTTGGACGCCCCACAATCGACTAGAGCTCGAAGGGACAAATTATTTGTCACTTCGAGTTTCAAGGTAATGAGAGAGATCTCCTTACCTAGAGCAGCAACGCAAAACGTTTGTGTGTTGGGAGCAACCTTCATCAAGAGGCCTACAAATTCTCTTGACGTTGCTGGACCAGTAGGGTGCTCCGCACCTACTGATCCTGTCCGTTTTTGATGGTCCATCCCGTTGTTGCATCTTTGCACCGACAGCGGACCCTCGTCCCTGCCCCTTTCTCATGGGTGGACGGTCACTACGCCCAGTGTCGCGAGACACTGGACGAGGGGCACTACACTCGTAAGCGTAGTGTCCTGTCTCAGACTGAAGTCTTCCTGTTCCGCAATGGAAATGGCTTGTTCTAGTGAATCTAGTTCAAGCCGGAACAGGTGAGTCTTGACGGGACCATCCGCAAGACCCTGCACGAACACCGAAACCAACGTGTGTTCATCAACCGGATTGGAACTTGTACAACTCGTGAGATGTCGTACATGTTGCGCGTAAGCGTGCACATCACGCTTACCCTGCTTCAGCTTCAAGAGTTCGGTTCGAGCTCTGAACTCAGCTCTAGGCGGCTCAAACGTTTGTCTGAGCCGCGACTTGAAGACTTCCAACGACCCAAACGCATATGGGTCGTGCAACTTGAGTCCCAAAGCCCAAGTCTTGGCACGTCCTGCCAGATTTGACTGGGCAAATGCAACTTGCATATCCCCGTCGTCGATGCGACGCGCCCTTATGGCGTCATCCAATTCGACGAACCATCTCAAGAGGAAGTCCTCTTCGACTCCCCTATACTTGGAGATGTCAATCTTCAAGGTTTCGGGTCGACACGAGTGCATCGACCCACCAGCAGCAGCCTGCTGCTGTCTCAACAGTTCAAACTGTTTAGCACCCTGTTCTCTCAACAACTCTGATTGTTGAGAACCTTGTTTGTGAAGCAAGGCTACTTTCTCGCGTTCAGCGTCAAGTTCATTTGAATGAACTTGGCGATAGTAGCATGTTGTGCATCTCTATTGAGAGCCTCTAGCATGACGCTAACAGCATGGATGCCCATGGTTGAACCCATCCGATAAACCGCATCACATTCGACATCGCTCAAATGGGAGTAGCCGTCACGCGTAGCGAGAAATCTTTGGTCATCTTCATCATCCAACATATTCATGTTAGATATGAACGTGGTCCTTGGACGGACTACGAAGTGCTACCAGGTGTAACGGGGCACCCTGAATCTCGTAGTGATGGCAGTACAAGCTTCTTATTCTGATGACAGAATAAGGCGGTGCCTCGGAACTTCACGTACACTCGTACGTGCAGAGGAAGACGGTAAGAAGAAGCGAGTACTTGGTTAAAGTAAAAAGTAGAACTGTATTCATCGTAGTTAATGGCTGTTAATAAATCACTATTTATCATCATCTAACTATGTCTGAATACAAATGTGCAAATCAACTATCTGCTCACCACTCACTGCGTGCGTCTGTTGTGGCGCGTCTTCGTTGGTTGATATAATGGCCTACATCAGCCAATCAGGAACTACTCGTAAGTGCTGCAGAATATTTGTCCTTATGACAATATTCTGAGAATACAACTCTTATATTTATGTTCTATTAACAATTTCTTATAAGTTGTTATGTAACGATTCACCCCGTTACAAGCGGCATGTAATTCAGGCAGGTGGTCATGGTAATCGAACACTTCAAGCGGTGCACACAAACGACGCAGCACGCAGAAGCTAACATTTTGATGGTTGGTCCCAATGTTCGACAGACGTACGTCGCAGATCTAATTTGCTACGGTGTGCAAGGTTTATGCGCGTTGTACAGATCGCGGCGTGGAATAATTCTTTGCGTTGCTTCGGACGCCTGGAACGCAATGACTGGTCGACATGCCGGCCTGGTCACTTGATTGTGCTCTGCAGCTGAGTATTCTATCCTTCGCATTCGATGCCCGCCTCAACAAAGATATTTGAAAATGAAGCACTCGTCTGCCAATGTGTTCCAAGGCGAATGGGTCGCCGAAGCGCACACATTCAGCGTCTACCTGCGTGCTCAGAACAGGGTGATCACTGCTTTGAAGGTGAAGTACCCGGCGCTGACTACTCGCTGGGTCCAATATGGCATCGTGCTAATATATTCATCACATACCGGCGAAAACTGGTCATCTACGCGGCTTATCATCAAAAGTTCGTCCTGCAGTCGCCCTTCTGGTGGATCATGACGTACGCTTCATCTCCTTTCATTAAAAGTTTCAACTACAGAATGAAGCACTAATGATAGCGCAGCAGGACGAGCACGTTATCAATTTGTTTGGATCGCTTGTCGCTATGTTCAGCATAAACTTGACCAATGAGCCGATGTATGGCTACTTTGCTAATGGTGGCATATGCATCGCCTTTTTTGCGGACATTGTCACTCAAATCAAGGACCAGGGCTCTTGGCCAACGCATTCGATGGTAATGCTGAGCGAAGAAAAGAAGCTAGACGTCGTACGCGATGTCGTGGGGTGGTCCTGTCACGTGTAGTAAACTCTGATACTTGTTAGCTGGAATATTTTCATAAAGGTTGATGGTGTTCATGAATATATATATAAGGCGTTATATTCCGAAACACTCATCGATTGGCTAATATAGGCCGTCATATCATTCAGCTCTAGCGATCCAAATAACGATGGACGCGCGCAATGAGTGGTGAACAAGATTTAGTACACACTTTTGTAGATAAAAATGATTAATTTAGGACAAAAAATAGGTACATGTACTTAAAATTTATTAAAAATTAAATTCAGGTTTCCTTTACACTCCTAGTGAACGCATCGTTCATTAGATAGCCTTTTGTTGCGCGTACAAGGTACTTATAGTGAAGAACGGCATTACATACACTGTTTCCATTTCAGGCGCACTAGTATCAAAGCAGTACTAGTGATCGGTGCCTCGTTTCACCTGGTAGCACTTTGTAGTCCTTTCAAGGACTACAACCCCTTCATCGAACCTGAACATGCTGGATGTTGATAGTGGCAGCTTTCACGCCACGCGTGAAAGCTACTCCTTTTTAAGCGGCATCGAATGGAGTACGGTCGCACGAATGGATTCGACCGTGGGCGAACTTGACGTCTCTGCCATGCTGTCCACACTGGACAGAGATGGGCAGCATGTCGCCATTGCCAAGTTCATACAACATGAACTTGACAATTGACGGTAAAGGTAATCTTTATTTCACAGCAGTGTTCTTGACAGGCAGAGCTGTTGATACAGCAGAGTGCTCAACAGTTTAAAAAAATTGATGCCACATCAGACACATGCTGCTGTTCCCAGGGCGACGCACGCGCGTCGACTCTAAAGTTTTGAGTTAGAAATCTTAAATTACGAAGGAGTTGAAAAAGATTCCCTGCTGATATGGTCCGTCGAGTTGGACGACGCCAAAAGGGTTCATCACATCATCGACGAGCAAATGCAAGTCGCGTTTGCTCAGTTGAACCTAGCTGGACGAGCTAAATTCTGGCCTTTAGGGCTTAAGTTGCACGACCTTTATGTGTTTGGGTCATTGAAGTCACCAAAGTCGGCTTAGACAAACATTTGAACCGCCAAGGGTTATATCAAGGCCTAAACAAAAGCATCTTGAGCTAAGTTGGCTAAGCGTGATGTGCACATATACGCCTAACACATGCGACTCATTGCGAGTTGTATTACGGCTAATCCAGTCCATTAACGCACAGTAATCGCAGAATTTATGCAGAGTCATCCGTATGGTCCCGTCAAGACTCACCTGTTACACTTTGAACTGGATACGCTAGAAGAAGCGATATCAGTTGCGGAACAGGAAGACTTAAGCTTGATACAGGCTCATTCTAATCTGGGTTTATATCGTCCTCCAAGACGTCAAGAAGCAGGAGGTTTCTAACATATGGATCTATTATGTCGAGAGCGTGAGACCTCGCTCATCAGCTAACAAGCGATTGCAGACATGCAAACGCTTGTCAGAAGCTGGGGCACCTACGCTTACGAATGTATCGCCCTACGTTTAGTGTCTCGAAGCACTGAGCAAACTGATAGACCATTTGCCAGTGAGGGTAACGGACGCGGGTCTAACGTTGTCGCAAAATTGTAACATCGTAGTGGACCGTCAAATAACGATCAGGTTTAGTAGTAGGGTCGTAGACACCTTATTAGTCCAGAAACCTCAAGAGAATTTGAATTATCTTGATGAAGTGTTCTCCAGAATTTTATTCACTGTATGTCCATGCACTTAGAATGTAAGATACTCCTCATCTACTTGGCTTAGAAGTGACAAAGGATTTGTCACTTCGTGCCCGAGTAGACTATGGGTCATCGAGCATCTTTGGTCGTAGACAATCGGTGGAGGATCGTAGGCTAAATTAATGTTAATCGCGATATCCCTCCAACGAGGATGACGGTGCGCCTAGCAACAAGCACATCGATAACTTTGATAAAACGTGTAGTGGGACTTCTCTTTACGCTAGAAGGTTTCAGTACGATAACGATTATATCGTACTTGATAAATAGACAAGTCTGATAAAATACTACATTTGCCTCGGTTAAAGTACGCATTTAGGTTCAGCTATCAGCATCGAACCGTGAAAATTTCCGCCATTGTTCATCAGATGGCCATATGATGAAATATCGTGGAGCGTTGACAAGCGTGTGGGTGTGCTGCGAATATGTGCGATGGCCTCACTTGCAGTACGGTTTTTGGTCCGACTGCTCAAGATTGCAGTGTGACAACCTATCAGAATGTGGAAGGGGCTGCCGATGGCTGTGCGGATGCACATACAGCGCAGAAATTCCTTCGCTTTAAGAAGTCGAGTGCATCGGGATATGGGTGTACGCCTAGCGGGCGACATCTAAGGGAGAATAGCCCCGGGGCCCACACTGGGCAACACGATGATTCTAGATTGGCTAAAGATTCAATCGTAGATAATTTGTGTGGTAGTCCAAATACAGATATAAGACATCGATGGAATAAGTTCCCAAGGTTTTGAGAAAGAAAATCCTTAAGAATTTAAAGATGAGATAACAGGGCATTATCAACCCAAGTAAATAACTATGTAGCAGCATGTGGAAAAGGGTTAACGAGTAGGAACCGAAACATTGGATAAGGTTGTCAATGACTTTTCAAGTTTAGGCGATTACATAATATGCTTGATCTGATCGCGCCTCCGAAGTTATCTTTCGAGATAACTTAATTGCCAAAGCTATAACGGAAACGATTTTTTCGAGATCTGCGAGGTGGCAAAGTCAAGCAGATCTGTGTACGTGTCCTAGAGGACGAGTACGAGACCGAAATTTGATCGGAATTAGTTTTGCCTAGAATGCAAGAGTTTTTAGCAGCATATCGATGTAAAAAAGTGTCCTCGATAAGACGACTCATATTGAGCGATACGCGTCACATCTTTGGGGTAGCTTTAGGTAAATCCTTTGTGCACCAACTTAATCGAATGAAATGACGTGTTTCCCGAATTTGTGCCGTTGCGAGTTGCCTAATGTCAAACACACTCGACACAAGATCGACTTCAAACCGGGCTCGAAGTACTATGTATTAGTAGTAGCCACTACCTCGTGAACAAGTACTGGCGATCAGCAAGCTCTTTGCCGATCGCTATGCAGCGGTGCATTTGTGAGAAAAACAACTTCCCTTCACATCTCTCCGACCTTCTGTGTTCGAAAGGCCACAGTTGGATAATGGATAGTGCAGGCGTTCAACAACTAAATGCTGCAACGGTACCAGATCAGACGCAGACAACGAGAAATGAGGTTGTCATCGATTTATGTCAAAAAATACCATCTTTACGCTCATGCATCTGATAGATGTCTTCTACCAGATCAGAA